CCTGGCCCCGCCCCTGGGAGCAGTAGTCTCTCCTAGCCCGCCCCTTCAGAGCCACAGTTCCTGCCTAGCCCCGCCCCTTGTAACCAAGGCTCCCTCCCAGCCCCACCCCTTGGAACTGCAGTTCCCTTCTAGTCCCGCCCCTTGAGCCAAGATTCCCTCCTAGCCTTGCCGCTTGGAGCATAGTCCCACCCTGGCCCTGTCCCTCCGAGCTACAGTCCCACCCCCAGAGCAGCTGTCCTGTCCTGAGACCCTGCCGCCCTGTCAGCCACAGCCCTTCACCTGAGTCTCACCTGGACTTTCCTGTCCCCAGATCATCAACACCTACACGGAGGCAGTGCAGACGGTGGACCCCTTCAAAGCAACGGGCAAGCCCCACACACTGTGGGTTGCGTTTGCCAAGTTTTATGAGGACAACGGACAGCTGGACGATGTGAGCCCCTGCTGCAAGTGCCTTTGTGTGTGTGCACGTGTGTGTGTGAGTGCAGTTCCCTTCCTCACCATTGCTGGTAGGGGCTGGCTGGGCGGCAGGGTCTCAGCCTGGCCTCTGCCTGCCCCCTGCAGGCCCGTGTCATCCTGGAGAAAGCCACCAAGGTAAACTTCAAGCAGGTGGACGACCTGGCCAGCGTGTGGTGTCAGTGTGGGGAGCTGGAGCTCCGGCATGAAAATTACGATGAGGCCTTGCGGCTGCTGCGGGTGAGGACAGGCCTGGGCTGTGGGGCGGAGGCTGCGCTGTGTGGTCAAGGCCCGGGACAGCCACTGAGCTCCCTCCTCCACTGTCCGCCTTGCAGAAGGCCACGGCACTGCCTGCTCGCCGGGCCGAGTACTTTGATGGCTCCGAGCCCGTGCAGAACCGTGTGTACAAGTCACTGAAGGTGTGGTCAATGCTTGCCGACCTGGAAGAGAGCCTGGGCACCTTCCAGGTGAGCCGCTGCAGCCGGGAGGGACAGGGCCCAACCCCGGTCCCAGGACCCCCTCTGATGCGCCCTGTCCCCACAGTCCACCAAGGCTGTGTATGACCGCATCCTGGACCTGCGCATTGCCACGCCCCAGATCGTCATCAACTACGCCATGTTCCTGGAGGAGCACAAGTACTTCGAGGAGAGCTTCAAGGTGAGGCTGGGGCAGATGTGGAGGCCCCCAAAGGTGGCATCCCCTCCCCAGGGCCTTGGGCACCGTACGAGTCTGCTAGGGTGGCAACCACATACTACAGACTGGGTTGCCTGAACAACAGAGATTTCTCGTCATGTAGTCCTGGAGGCTGGACATCCTAGATTGTGGTGTCTGCAGGGTCGGTTACTTCCAAGGCCTCTCTCCTGGGTTTGTAGACAACTCACGTAGTTTTCTGTTTTTACCTACCAGTGTCCAAAGTTCCTCTTCTTTTTTATTTAAAAATTTGGCTTATTAATTTTTTTTAAGAGATGGGGTCTCGCTATGTTGCCCAGGCTGGTCTCAAACTCCTGGCCTCAAGCAATCCTCCACCTCAATCTCCCAAAGCATTGGAATTATAGGCATGAGTCTCTGAACCCTTAAATTTCTTCTTAAAAGGACACCAGTCACAATAGATCAGGCCCACTCTGACGACTTCATTTTAACTTAATGGTTTCATCTTCAAATGCGTCTGTGTTCTGAGCCACTGGGGGTTAGGACTTCAGTGTATGAATGTGAGGGGACACAGTTCAGCTCACGACAGACTCTGAGTCCTGCCTTTGTGCTCATGGATGAAGCAGAGAGCAGGTACTGGTGTCTGCTCACAGGTGATGGACTGTGGGTCCGTGGAGTGTCTTATGTGTCTATGTGGTGAGGCCTTGTCCTGCTGCTGGCCTGCTAGTATTTGTCTTTGTGCGGAGGCCAGACACAGATACATGGATGGGGAGGTTCGACGCAAAACACATACATGTGTGCTGCCCCCTGCCCCTCTGCTGGGGAGTGTGACCTTCTCTCCAGGGCTGGGAGCCAGCGGCTGCACACCTGAGGGGCCACCCCCACCTTTATCCATAATGTCACCTACTAGGTGCTTAGTAAGTCCTACTTACTTACCCCCGGCCTTAAGTCCTTGCAGTCTGGAGGGAGATAACAGCATACGGACCCTCACAAGTGCCACATGGGGCAGGGGAGGCACAGCAGGGATGGGGGGGAAAGAAAGGGGCCTAACAAGCTCCTGACAGACCTCCCGGGTGCCCAGTGATCTCCAGCTCAGACTCTCACATGCAACTTGCCCCCTCGGGACAGGCGTACGAGCGTGGCATCTCGCTGTTCAAATGGCCCAATGTGTCCGACATCTGGAGCACCTACCTGACCAAATTCATCGCCCGCTATGGGGGCCGCAAGCTGGAGCGGGCACGGGACCTCTTTGAGCAGGCGCTGGACGGCTGCCCACCCAAATATGCCAAGAGTGAGATGGGTGGAGGGCTCAGGGGCAGGGTGCAGGGGGCCTCTGACTGGCCCCTGACTGAGCACCCTCCCTGTCCCGCCACAGCCCTGTACCTGCTCTATGCGAAGCTGGAGGAGGAGTGGGGTCTGGCCCGGCACGCCATGGCCGTGTACGAGCGGGCCACCAGGGCCGTGGAGCCCGCCCAGCAGTACGACATGTTCAACATCTACATCAAGCGGGCGGCTGAGATCTACGGGGTCACCCACACCCGCGGCATCTATCAGAAGGCCATTGAGGTGTGAGGGGGGTGGTGGTGGCAGGTGGGAAGGGCCTGGCCGGCTATGGTGCCCTGAGCTCTGGAGCTGCCCTGGCCTCATGGCCTGGCCTCTGACCCCCGCACCCAGGTGCTGTCGGACGAGCACGCCCGCGAGATGTGCTTGCGGTTCGCGGACATGGAGTGCAAGCTGGGCGAGATCGACCGTGCCCGTGCCATCTACAGTTTCTGCTCCCAGATCTGTGACCCCCGGGTAAGGCTGGGTGCCGGAGGAACGTGTTGGGGAGGCGGTGGCCGAGCGGGTCTGTCATGTGTACATGTCCCCTCCCACCCCTGCACAGACGACAGGTGCCTTCTGGCAGACGTGGAAGGACTTCGAGGTCCGGCACGGCAACGAGGACACCATCAAGGAGATGCTGAGGATCCGCCGCAGCGTGCAGGCCACTTACAACACGCAGGTCAACTTCATGGCCTCGCAGATGCTCAAGGTGTCAGGCAGCGCCACGGGCACCGGTGAGCGGTGCGGCCACCCCTTGCCTCAGTGGGCCTGGCCTCGGGTCTGGGGCGTCTCAGCTCTGCCTGACCTCAGCCTCCTGGTTCTGGGAGTCTCAGGGACCAAGGTGGTGGGGCGGCTGATGTGGCTGGGAGGGCCCCCAGTGCTGACCCCGGGCCCTCCCCGCAGTGTCCGACCTGGCCCCCGGGCAGAGCGGCATGGATGACATGAAGTTGCTGGAGCAGCGGGCGGAGCAGTTGGCGGCCGAGGCCGAGCGGGACCAGCCCCTGCGCGCACAGAGCAAGATCCTGTTCGTGAGGTGAGGGCCGGATCTGGAAAGAGGACGGCCCTGCAGGCCATCGGGGGTGGGTTGAGGGGAGCAGCTGCTGAGGCCTTGTGATCCACGCCCCCAGGAGCGACGCCTCCCGAGAGGAGCTGGCGGAGCTGGCACAGCAGGTCAACCCCGAGGAGATCCAGCTTGGCGAGGATGAGGATGAGGACGAGATGGACCTGGAGCCCAATGGTGAGGGGCCTGCCCGTGAGGCCTGGGGCGGGGACAAACAGCGGGGGGTGGGCCCTCTCCAGGAGAGTGGCCAGCTTTCCCCACCTTCCCCACAGAGGTCAGGCTGGAGCAGCAGAGCGTGCCAGCCGCCGTGTTCGGGAGCCTCAAGGAAGACTGACCCACCCCTCCCACGCCCCTCCCCTTCCCCCAATACAGCCTCGTTTGTACGTCATGGTCTGCGTCTCCTTCCTGCCGCCCAGGTGCCCCAGGGACTGCCAGCTCAGGAGTGCCCTGGCCCTGGGCCCGGATTGGCTGCTGCGGGAGGTGGGGCGGCCGGGCCCCAGGCCAAACACCCGCCCAGCCTCACCTCGCTGAGCCAGTTCCGGACACCAAGTGGCCAGTCGCCTGGGGCCTTGGAGTGGGTCCTGTCTGGAAGCCTCCTTGAGCCCCGAGCCAGGGGATCCGGCCAACCGCCTCTGAATCATTCCGTGTCCCCAGGCAGCAGCCTCTTTCCAGGGCCAGGGTGCCTCTGGAGAGCCTTGGAGTCAGGTGGGCCCCGGTCCAGCTCAGTGAACTTAAGAAGTTGGTGCTTCTGTCCCTGGCAAGGGGCCAGGAATCAGACCTCATCCACAGGCCGTGACCAGGGTGTGGTCCTTAGGCCTAAGCTCTGGGAAGCCATTAGCGGGCTCTAAGCTATTAAAGGGTTTTAAGCATCAAGGACTATAATCAGATTTGTGCTTTGAGCAGGTCACACAGGCTGCTGTGTGGGCAAGAGGCAGCTGGGGACATGGGGAGGCCCAGGCTGTTGGCATGGACTTGGGGGAGGTCACAGGGTGGGAGAGAGGCCAGGGAGCCAGGGGCTGAACTGTGCAGGACCTGGCCTGGCTCAAGCTTGCGGTGTAGGCCCTGCATTGAGACACCAGTGGCAATGCCAGGGAGGCAACTGGAGCCTCAGAAGCAGAGCTCAGAGGAAGGAGACACAGAATCCCCCCAGCCCAGAGACCATAGCCAGGCCTCAAAACGGGCAGGCTGGCTGGGGAAGACAAGATCAAGTTAGAAGTTGGCCCTAAACCAACCGCCAGGAAGGGCTGGTAACAACAGCCACACAGGAGGAAAGCCAAGTGAGTGGGGGTGGTGGAGGCCCAGGGAGGGCCAGCTGGAAGCCTTGTGCCCAAGAGGTCAGTTAGAGGCACTAAGAAACACCCCTGATGGTGGGGAAGTAGGGGGAGTGTTGGCCAAAAGGCTATCATAGACAGCAGAAACTGTGTCGGGGCCATTGAAGAGGCAGAAGAGACACTGGAGTGACTAGAAACAGCCAGCAAGTGCGGGACCCCAGCCAGCCTCAGGAAGGGGACAAGGCTCAATTTCTCTTTAAATTATTTTATTCAAGAAGGTGGGGAGAACAGACAAGGGGACTGAGCTGAGCCCTGAGTCCCTGAACCTCCCAGCTCAGCCCCCACAGCAGGACGGGACTCAAAGTCGGGGTGGGGACTCCAGCCCCACCCAGACATGGTTGGAGACAAACAGGACCCAGGAATACCGACTGTCCTTTGGGGGGATGGCGGCCCATGGACCGCCCAGGGCAGGGCTATTTGGGGGTGCCACCACCCTTTTTGGGCGTGGTGGGCTTCTTGCTCTGCCAGAGATGGCCCTGGATGGTGAAGGCATCGACACTCATGGACATGGTCTTGGCGGGGATCTGGGTGAAGCGCTTGCGGTCCGAATTGTACTTGTAGATGCCTTCCACCATGGCAGGCGTGACAGTGCGGGGGCCATAGCCTGCCAGCCGCGATAGCTCCTCTGTCTCCCCCGACAGCGTGTAGAGTGCCCGGAACTGGCAGCTCGAGTCACGGAAGAGGATCAGGAAATGGTTGGCCTTGCTCTTCTCAATTTCCTGGGGGATGGCGGAAGCAGTCAGCAGGCCAGGCCATGCCACTGATTACCCCCCCAGCCTTCCCCCGCTTCCCAGTGGTGGGCCCACCTCGAGAATGCGGTTCTTCTGCGGTTCGTTCACCTTGCCTGCCAGGCAGCAGTGTGACAGGGCATTGTGGATGATGAACTTGTTGGATTTGGCGCTGGGCTCCTTATACAGCCGCGGGCCTGGGGGGTGGGGCAGTCAGCAGGGACGGCCAGGGGACAGGAGGTACCTGCTGCCTGTCACATCGCCCAGAATCCCAACTCACCTGTGTACTCAGGCACCGATGCTGGGGAGGAGGCATTGCTGCCATTCTCCCAGTCTCGTTCACGGCTTCCGGGCAAGCGGCTTGGGGACATGAGACCTGACGGAGATGGAGCCCTGCAGTGGGGGAGACGGGATGGAGGTGGGGTTGGGTGGGTGAAGCCTCTCAATCTGCAGAGGGACCAGGGGAAAGGCAGACCTGGCACACACTGCAGAGGAGACAGTACATGTACACTGCATGCCCTCACATGACCACGCGTTGCCTGTCCTGTACCATCTTGTCCCCTTGGGCCCCTGACAGGCGGGTACATAGAGGCACATCCTCGGGCCCTGTCTGCTAGGTACAGACTACCCCACTCACACACGTATTCTTCCACCTCTTGAGCACATCTGCACACACTTGAGCCGTGTCACACCCAAGGCTCACACAGACACACACTCACACCACCCACCCGGCTAAACTCACCGAGACGGCCTCTTCACACCGAGGTTATTGGGGGCCTCGTTGGCCACAGTGGACAAAGACAGGGTGGACTGGGAGTAGACCTTGCTCAGCCGAGAGCCTGGGGATAGAGTGTGGGTCAGTCCCCACCCAAAGTCACCCAGTCTCCACAGATGCCTGGCTCAGTGGGGTCAGCCCTGCCTAGGACCCCTCACCCCTCTGCAGCCCCACTCGAGTCTAACCTCCCACACACCTATAGGGCAGGGGCTCCACCCAGCAGGCCATGGGGAACAGCACTGAGTCGGCCCCCATCGGAAACACCTCACCCCCAAACCCCACCACAACCCCCACGTCCCTGTGGGACTCTACCCAGCACAGGGTCAAGTCCCATCTGAGGCCCGTTGCCCTGCACCCCTGCATACATCCCCCTCCCCACACCCCCACGGGGGCCTCACCCAGCAAGCCCC